ACTGTCAGGGGGACCAATAAAATCCATATAAAATAAAGCCACTATCACGGGTTGTGAAAAAAAATTACAGTCTCAGAAATCTATAGGGGCTAATTTTGCCCTGTCGTTAGGGTTGCTATGGGCCAGACTAGACCCGACACAGTGAGTTTGAGTTTTCTTGTTGTTGTTAACCCACCTCATGGGATAAGCAGTCACTTGCCCTGCTGTGCCTTGATTTCCCCTTTTGGAAATGGAAGCCAATCATTCCCATGATTAAAGGCCCTCCCTGGGGGTAGGAGGGGGCCTTGTCGGATCAGTCCAGAAGGTTCTGGGAATTCCTTAGAGAAAAGCCTGTTGGAAGCCTGGGTGCACTGTTTGATTCTGGTAAGAGAGTCAGCATGGAGACTTCTGAAAGCACCAGAGGTTTTATTAGCTGTTGCACCTACCCGGCTTAATTTAAATCTAGCAAGTCAAGAGATCCATTCTTTAAAGTTCGTGTGCGCGCACGCACACATGCGCGCGCTTTAATGCTTCAAACCTTCTCTTTGTGGGTTGAACTTCTGAAAAAGCCCATCCCTGCCCTTGTGGCTATGGAAGGCAGGGATTCCACAGCGGTGAGGTAAGGAGGGCAGCAGGGGGAGTTCTCCCAGCAGCCTGCATACATGAGCAGTGAGCGCACCACAACGGGTTTCCCTGCAGCCGCCACCACCCGTGGCCTGAGTGCATGGACATCTGGGAGCACATCCCTCACTCCCTCATTCTGACTCACACCCCTGAGGCAGCACACAGAGGGACCTTCCCTGTGCGCAGCACCCAGCAGACCCTGAGGGGATGGAGCACTCAGAAATCCCAGGGGGGCCGGGGTCCCCTTCCCTCTGGGTGTACAGAGCTGTTGAGAGACTGGCACAGTTCAACTCCCGCAGCAGGCATAACCCGGGGCATGGGCAGCGAGGTGGCGTCGGCTCAGAAAGACCGATGGGGACTCCGGGATCATGGACATGGAGCCCCAATGGGACTTGGATTCCTGTTTGCCTCATTGCTGGCGGTGTGAGCTTGGAGAAGGTGCAGGCCCTTGCCAATGCTTCTCCCCTGTCAACTGGGTATAGCCAAGCTGTCTTATGGGCTGTCGTGGGGATCCAGCGGGGTGTAAAGGATGTACAGTTCTTAGCAGAGAGCCTGGTGTGTCATGAGTGGGCATTTGGTCACGGGTCAATGGCAGCCATCATGGTCATTAGTATTCAGAGAAAACAGGCAGTGGGAGGCAGCTCAGGCAGGTGTGGGAGACGCCAGCCCCCCCCAGAACTAATCACGGGTTCTGTAGGCTCAATTGTATGGTTAAATATACATATATATAATAGTAAAGTCATAGAAAATAATAGAGATACGAGAGAGTAAAATGAAGAAGTCAGACACATTTCATGGTCTCATGCTCACCTCCTGCACGGCCATGATCTCAACAGGCAGGTCCACGCACAGGGCGGGCAGAGAGGGCAGGAGAGAGAGCATGAGGTTTTATTTCTAACCAAAGCTTATATATCTTTGGGGGCACGCAGGCCCTCTGATTACAGATAACAATGTACGTCATGGGAAGGGGTTGTAACATAAGCAATACAAGCAGTAGGAGGGGGATGACCTCGGGGTGTACCCACACTAGTAAAGGGAGGGAAAAGGGGTACAAATGTGGCAAGATGGGCGGACCCTAGACTCAACATAGTAGCCTAACCTTAGTCATCCTTGAGGGGTCCTGGGCTTGTCTTTGGGCACTCCTTCAAGGGAACAATATCAGAAGGGAGTGGGCCCTACTTAGGGCGAATACAGTCTGGTTGCTCTAGAAGGCTGATACCCTTAAGGAGAATAATGTCTGACCTACTTTCATTGACCTCCTAGTGTACAGTCACTGACCATGTGTAGCAAGCAGCGTCTTGGGTTTGGCATATATTTGGGGGAGACAACTTGGGAGAAGCCCATGGAGGGCAGAGGCTGCGTCTGTCCTGCATTCAGGAAGTATTTGCTGAATGCATGCATGCAGGAGTGAATGAAGTAGAAGGAGGACCTTGTGAACCTGGAAGGGTTCTGCTCTGTGGCGGGAGAAGAGAAGATGTCCCAGTCCGGCAGAGGGACAGCAAATGCAAAGCCACCCTGCTTCCCTCCCTGGGAGAGAACAGGTCCCTCTCCTCCTTGCCTCTGATAGCAGACACAGAAATCCAGGCACACACCCCATGCCCACACAGACACACATAACACATAAACACACAAGCACCTCTGCCACATGCATGGTCATGCACAGACACCCAGACACACACAGAGACCCGCCAGACACTCCAGAGAGGCCTGCTCTGGCACGCACACACAGACGCTCCTGGTCACTGAGTTGAGCATGCACACGGGAGCGGGGGAAGTTGGAGGGGAACATACACATAGACATACGGGCTTCTAGCTCCTTCTCTTCACCATTTGCTGCATCCCGGTTGAGGGGCCCTGACCTGCATGAAGAAAGGGGTGGCAGGATGCCTCAGCCCCAGGCATTGTGGCCCAGGGGTCCTTCTTGGTGGGTCTATAGGGTTCCCTCAGCAGGACCTTTGCTGGGGGCGGGGAGCTTGGGGGTGTGTGCTGGGGTTCTTAACTGCCTCACTTCAAGGGAGGGGAGGGCCTGTCGGGAAGGCTGTAAGCATGAATAAAGTCAGCCCTGCTGCTGTGAGCCAGCAGTAACTTTCCTGTACCGCAGGAGGCAAGAGGCATTACTCACTGGAATTCCAGCCCTGCTGGAAGCTGCACAAGGAGGCTGGCCCAGGGCAGGGTGAGACCTCAGGCCCTGTCTTGGCTCCCTGCTGTCCATGTGTCTTTGTGGCACGGGTCCTGTGGCCTGACTGGGGGCTGGAAGGATCCAGGACATAGGCTGGAAAACATAGCCCTGCCACTGACAGCTTCCCTTCTGCTCTGTGTGGAAAGGCAGCGGGGCCAAATGCCATCACTCTGGGCCCACATATTTTCCACCACTGTGCAGGACTGGTGAAGCCAGGCCTGGCTTTGCAGACTGAAGTCAGTGGCGAGGAAACCTGAATCCCTGGGCACTCAGATAATGATTCTGTTCAGCCTCCTGCTTCATTAGCATCCTGGCTGGCCAAGGTCTTGGAGCCCTCAGAGTTGCCCCCTGCCGGTCCACTTGGACCGTCCACCCTCCCTCTCTGGGCACCTCCGAGTGTGTCTCATGCCGGATCTCAAGCACTCCCCTGCCTCTGCTGGTCTTGGAGATAACAAGTGGAATCCGTCGTGAAGGGCCTTGCGCACCTTGCTCAGCAGTCTAGGCATTACTGCCGTGGGTGAAGTGTGGGCTCCTAACTGGAAGGTCGGTCGTTCAAACCCACCAGCCACTCTGTGGGAGGAGGAGGAGGAGGCTGTCTGCCTCTGTAAAGGCTTGTAGTCTCTGAAAACCTAAGAGGCAGTTCAACTCTGTCCCATCGGATCACACTATGTGCCGCAGCCAACTGGTGGCCAATGGATTGGGTTTAGTCTACAGACAAAGGAGAGGAGCCCCCTGCTGTTGAAGGCAGTCTGCACTCAGCTACTAACTGGGAGGGCGGCAGTTTGGCCTGGCCAGAGGCAGCTCGGAGGAAAGTTTCTGAAGGCCACAGACAGAGAAATCCTCTGGAGGGCTGTTCTGTTCTGCCCACCAGGGGCCTCCATGGGTCGGAATGGACTTGTTGGTAACTGGTTTGGTGGGCTTGTGTTTAAGAAAGATCTCTTTGGAAGCGGGCCCTGTGGAGGATGGAGCGGTGGAGGCAGAGACTCCAGGAGGGCCTGTCGTCCCTCTAGGGTAGGGGCAGGGGCAGAGAGAGGAGAGCTCAGAAGTGAACGAGCCGGGAAGGAGGTATGGTAGTATTCGGTGTGCTTCGGGAAAGTGTAGCATGTCAACATGCCTCCCCAAAACCTCACTGCCATCCAGTCAATTCTGACCCCTGGGGACCCGATGGGACAGATTAGAACAGCCCCTATGAGTTTCTGAGACTATAGAGTAGCCTTCACCTGAGGAGTGGCTGGTGGGTTCGAACTGCTGACCTTGTGGTTAGCCATCCAACTTGTAAACCACTCCCACCAGGGCTCCTTGTCATACCTCTAGGGTAACCAGTATTCTCCTCTCCCAGCTCGGCTGCTCCTCTCCTTCCGTGCACTCCTGGGACTCAGTTAGTGAGGGGACTTCATAGCTCGGTGCTTGAGGAGCAGAGGCCCTACATGGCAGTGAAGCAAGAACCTCCCTCCCTCCCATCTCCTCAGCCACTCCCGTTTCTTCCTCCTCTTGCCTCTACCTAGCCCCTGCTCCTCCCTGTAACAAAGACCCCAGTCTCTCCTTCATCCGTGGCCACAGAGAGGTGGGTTTTGAAGGGGCTAAGTCAGCCACCTTCCTTCCTCTTCGAGCCGTGGCCAAGTGGCAGTACTCAACCCCACTGCCCACTCATCTCCAGGGCGCTCCTCACTTCTAGCTGACCTGGGTCCTGCACACAACACGCAGCACACACAGCTTCTTCCCCTCACTTCCCCTCCCTCAGGGATGTTCATGCGACCCCTGGGCTGTGCAGGGAGATGCAATGGGACACCACCAACCTGAACTTCAGTCTGTTTCAAAGAAGAGCTCGGGGCTCACATGTGCACACACATACATACCTTGGAGTAAACCAAAAACATGAATCCTGTCGAACACACAAAAACGAACATCCAGGACCGTGCCTTCTCTCCTGTACTCCGATTCTGAGACCCCTGGCCCGCCTCTGCCCGCCAGGTTCTTTGTAGGCCCCGGGAGTCCCCCGCTCTCCTTCTGTGGCTCCACTGCCCGCGCCCGTCTCACAACCAAGTGCAGTGAGGCTGTGGCCTTTCCTGTTGTCTGTACCTGTGGACTTGTCAGGAGGGTCCAGCAGAGGCAGGTGGGCAGAGCCAGGCCCATTGTCCCTGGAGAGGGATGTGTTACTGGTACGTCCAAAGCCAGCCTGAGAAAGTAACCCTGTCCTTTCACGTCTCCCTCTCGGCAGAACATGAATATCCAGGTGGATGACATCCGGATCCGAGCCATCCTCTCGGCCTACCGCAAGCGCACCCCGGTGATGGAGGGCTATGTGGAGGTGAAGGTGGGCAAGAGCTGGAAGCAGATCTGCGACAAGCACTGGACGGCCCAGAACTCCCATGTGGTCTGCGGCATGTTTGGCTTCCCCGGGGAAAAGACATACAACACCAAGGTGTACAAGTAAGAGGGACTGGTGGTCTCCTGGGCAGCGTCAGGGGTCTCTCCAGAAATGGCGTATCTCTGCACTCGGCCACCAACGAACAGGTCACTCCATTCCACGAGAGAGCAGGGGTGACGATCTCGGCCCATCAAGGTGACCGTTTGCAGCTGACAAAACCCTCCAGAGCAGGCGGGCTCTGTTCTATAGGAGGGCTATGCATTGGAATCAGTGTGATCCCCCTCACACCCTTGTATACAGAGAGAGGGTGGAGATGGGCTCAGTGCAGAGGAGAGATTGGCTCCACAGCATTGGCTCACAGGATTGGGGCGGGCTAACCAAAACCAAACCAAACTCAGTTCGTCGTGCGGATTCTGGCTCAAATCAACCCTCTGGGACAGAGTGGAACTGCCCCCTGTGGGCTTCCCAGACTGTAACTCTGTACGGGAACAGCCTCATCTCCTCTCGCTGCAGAGGGTCAGTGAGTCCACAGTCCATGCCTGATGCGCTAGGCTGGAGGCCCAACGGCTGCTGGCTCAAGGGGTCGATCGCGAGGGGTTGACAAATCCCAAATCCGTAGGTTGGAGGGAATGCAGAGTGGTGAGAGAGTGATTTCTGGTCTGGAGGCAGAACACGCCCTAAGGAATTCCCCCTTTCAATGTATCCCATTGCCGTATACTCTGGAGCAGCCATGCGTCCATCGGCTGCTTGGCCAAACCAGTGGGAGGCGTGGCCAAGTGGACCCCTAAGATTAACCTTCACAGCCTGCCTTGTTGAAGGAGCAGGCCGTGGGCAGAGGTGAATCCTTTCCCCTCCCCAGCCACAGACAGGCCAGCTGGCATTCTTTCAGCAAGCCTGCCCGGGCCCCCTGTCCAGAGGCTGTCCCCGACTGCCCTTATCTCTGAGGAACTCACAATTCTGTTTGGAGGCTGACTTGAAACAAATGGTTCGACTAGCATGAGGTCAGGCTCATGGCAGAAGTGAAGTGCGGAGTGGTACCAGCCCAGAAAACCCCAGCTGTCAGGGCTCAGGTACTCTGGCGAAGGACCGTGCCAATGCCAGGCAGGCTACTCCCGATGGAAAAAGAAACATTCATTTTGCCCTCACCGAAGGATGATCCAGGAGCGATCAGCCCCTCTCAGACCATTGGAGAACTGATCCATTCAGTTCCGTCCAACACGCCCCATTGCATTTTACTATATTGCATGGTCGTCAGTGTATGTCACTGGGGGCGAGAGCCATGGGTTTCAGGGTGATTTGACCCAATGGCACAGTGACAGGGCATGGGAGTTGACTTGCTGGGTAGTAAGCTCTTCCCGCCTCTTCTTAATCATGGCAGTGATAACAGCTCGTGTTCAGTTTGGTTGCAAACATGGGCTGAAACAGAGCAATGACTACAAGGCTGGCACAGAACCGGGCCGCATTTCATTCTGCTCTCCGGAAAGGTCACTCTCAGGCAGAGCTGACTTGAAGATATCTAACAGCATTCACGATGCACGCACCTTGTGCCAGGTGCTGCCCTGGGCCACCCGACAACCCCCGGAGATAGGATTCCAGCATAAAGCTGAACAAGCCAAGTCAGAGAGAGGCCGTGTATGCGGGCCTTGAGCTCAGACACAGGTGACTCAGCTACAGGGTCTACACGCCCACAAAGGGCAGCCCCGCCACCTCCCTTCCTTTTCTTGCACGTCCCAGGAAGCCTGAGGAAAGAGAGGTGGCTTCCGAGTCAGAGGACCAAGTCAAGCTCCTGCTCTCCATCCAGTTCTGAGGGGCATGGGGCACAGCGCACCCCTCCCTGGGCCCTGCCCAGCCTAGGCCTTGGCCAGATGCAACTAAGTCCCTTCAATCAGGTTTGGATCAGAGCCGCCAGCCCACCATGTGGTAGTGCTGCCAGCAGAGCTGTCCCAGCCAGCCAGCCAGCCGGCTCCCCTGGGCCCCTGGGGTGACCACAATGGTGGGTCCACCCCTCTCCTGCCCAGATGTGGGCCAGACCTTCCTGTCTGCACCAGGGGTCCCCATCCTCTGAACATTTGGGAGAACCTCCCAACAGCTGGTTAATTCCTTCCCTTGTGACATCTGCTCGGCTTTTCCTACCAGAAGCCGCCAGGAAAAGCAAACACCCTCTCTTAACAAGCTTCCTACATGGCTGGCTCCGCGAGCCCCCAGCGGGGCCTCTGCTCTTCGCTCAGACCATGGCTGGGCCGCTGCCCGAGGAAGTTCCCCTGGGCTGGGCTGGCTGCTCCTCACCGGGCAGAGTGGAGTTCCCTGGGGATGGAGAGCACACGGCTTATTTGGATGGCGTTGGAATGCCTTTTCCTGGCCTTTGGTGTCCAGGGTTCCCTTCCTGCGTGCGAGGAAGCAGATCTGATGTCAGACCCAGCGTCCACAGCTGGGCCCCCGTGTCGTCCTCTCACGTGCTGGGTTTGAAAGCCCTTCCCTCTGCTCCTCCCTCCCCACCGTGTCTGGGGCTTTGCCTTTCCCAATCAGGGCAGGAAAAGGCTTTGCAGGCCGGGAGACATCCAAGGCTGGGGGTTCTCTGCAGAGATGTGAGATGATTAACAGATGCTGCTGGAAACCAAGCCCCTCCTCCCGGCCTCTAGCTGGAGACAGGGGGGCAGGAGGGCGGGTGGGGGAACTTTGTGGCCCTGTCTCCCATATTTCATGTTGAGATCTAAGTCCCTGCGCTAGAGCTGGACCTGCATGGGGGATGGGGCGGGGGTGCCAAAGGGAACAACGGCCTTTGTCAAAGAGAAAGGTACTTGTGAAGGCGTCCCGGTGCAGTGGCTGTGTTGTTGGCAAAGAGCAAAGCCTTGTCAGACTTGGACCACCCAGCCCAAGCCCCACTACGCAGGGGGAGAGCACTTTTCTCCCGGCTGCCTCCATCCCTAGATCCTGTTCCAGCTCTGAGCCTCACCAGAGGGCTGGGCCTGCTTAGGAGGCTCCTGCCTTCCCACTCCATTCACGGGGCCTGAGGCAGGGCCTGGGGGGTAGTTATCAGTGGGCCCTGCTCTGGAAGCGGAGAGCAGCATAGGCCTGAAGGCCAAGGGAGGGTCAACACCCACCATGTACGACCCTTGAATCCAACCCTGGCTTCTAGCCACATCGCTTCCCATTTCTCTTTCACCCTTCCCACGGCTTGACCCCGTGGCTGCTGACATCACATTCCTCGAGGTCTGGGAAGCAGCCTCCCAGCAAGCACTGCCCACTTGAGGGAGGAAACGGTTCGAAAACGGCTTCTCCACTGAGAGTAGGAGTCAGCATGACTGGGAAACGGCTCTGTCTCTGGCCATGGGCTTTCAGGGCTCCTCAACCTGGCGATTCAGCGGGGCAGTGACCGGGACCCCTCCCCCTCAGGGCCTCCTCACGACCTTTCTGGTGCAGGCCCCTCCGCTATCCTAAAGGCCTGGGGTCCTCTAACTGGCCTCAGAGTCACCCCTGGGACTGCCGGCTCAGTGTTTCCACAGGCTCCTTCTCCCACACAGGATTCCAGGTTTATCCCAGGGCTTCGAACTCATGGCTGGCAAAGCCAAATCAGAACTTTTTAAAAATCTAGGCAACATGGAACGATGACGACCATAGGAAAAACCAGAGGCCAAATGTCTGAAACGAGAGCCTCTAAGGAATCGTTGAAAGGCCTCTCAGGAGCCGGGACTATGGAAGAGCAAGGCACATTCAAAGTGATTAAGCCGACCACCGTCTTTAAGCTGGGCACCGTTGTTTCTGACTGTGCCGGCCAAGAGGTTTGCGCTCACACCCTACCCTTGTTTTCAAAGAGGCAGAGCACTGGCTTGTCATTTACCCCTGCATCCTTCTGGCTCACCTGCGTTTTATGAATCGGGGTGTGTTCTGGTTTCACTTCCAGGCGTCCACGGGACAGGGAAGAACCTTTGGACTCCTGGTTTGCCCACATGCACCAGAGGGCTCTGTATCTACAGATTCACCCAAGGGTGGAGTCGGTGCTGCGCACTCCCAGCTGCTCTCTGGTCATGTCCCTGGCTTTGCTCTGGGCTGGAGCATTGTGGGTGTATCTTGACATGCTCAGAGCATAAATGTTAGTGCTCCACCCGTGGAGCCACAGGAATATTTGTAATTTTTTCCCTTTTCCCTTAAAGTAGGGTTCCTATATTATCGAAACCTCAGGGTTTATTGGGTTTGGTTGGTTCTGACTCCTAGCGACCTCACACAACAAAATAGGACTGCCTTGCAGGGTGTCCAGGGCGGCAGATGTTTGCAGAAGCTGATTGCCTGCTCTCTCTCCCTCGGGGCTGCTGGTGGGTTCACACGGCCCACCTTTAGCTTGGCAGCCAAGTGCTTCTGTACCACGGTGCCACCAGAGCTTCTGTCTAAGCTTCCAATGCCAACCCACTGCCCTTGAGTTCCTTCTAACTCACAGCAACTCTAACGCACAGGGTGGAATTACCCCTTTGGGTTTCTGACGCTGCAAAGCTTTATGGGAGCAGAAAGCCTCATCTCTCACCAATGGGGCAACTGGTGGGTTGGAACCACTGGCCTTTGCATTAGCAGCCCAGCTGACCTTTCCACAGCACCACCAGGACTCCTTGTCCGACTCATAGTGACCCTATAGGACAGCATTAAAAGTCCCCTGTAAGTTTCTGAAACGGTGATCTTTACAGGGGTAGAAAGCCTCATCTTTCTGCTGTGAAGGGGCTGGGGGTTTCAAACTGCTGACCTGGTGGTCAGCAGCCCAGCCCATAACCCATCGGAGCAGAGTGCTCCAAACCCTGGCTTCCACCTTGGCTGCAGGAAAACGAGGAGGATTCAGCCCAGCTCCATGTTCTTCCTGCTGCCCAGCCATTGGCCTAGATGCCTCTTTCTCGAACTTCGCCCAAGACTGCTCCCATTTCCAGTCACGACCTCAATCACCACCCACCCTCCCTGGCTCCTCAGGCCGCACCCCAGGGCTTGTCCTGAGAGAATCTGCACTGGGCTGGGGCTGGGATGGGGGGTGGTCGCAGACGGAGGCCTGTGGTGGGTCGCAGTGCATTCCTGTGCGCTGATGTCAAAAGGATGCAGGGCTGCCTCCGGAAAGACGCAGCGCCATCTGTGGGCAGCTCTGTTTTCTCTGGACGCTCTCTGTGAGGGCTCAGTCCCTCTGGTCTCATTGGAAGCTGGAAGCCGAGGGCTTTTTCTGAGCCAAGAGCAGGCTGGTGAGATTTCACAGCTACCTTCTCAGCTGATATCCCCAGAGGGTTCCCTCACTCAGATGTGGGGGCGTCCTGGGGAACACGCTGCAGCTCACACCATTTCCAGCTGCAGAAAGCTCACCGGAAGTGGAGTGGGGCAGGCATTCTTGGGTTATTAATAGTTCTCTTGTAAGGTTCTGTGTGCCAGGCAGTAGCTATGGCAAGCATAAAGCCAAGCCAAGTTGCTGTGGGGTTGACTGTAACTCGTGTAGAACGGTGCTCAGTAGGGTTTTCTGAGGCCAGTTCTCAGAAGGCTATTTCTAGGCCTTTTGTCCAAGGCACTTCTCCGTGGCACTTGCTAACCCCAATTCGGTTAGCAGCTGGATGCGTCCGCTGTTTGCACCGCCCAGCCCCTCCTGGGTGAGAATCCATCCTGAATTTCCCAGGCTAGTTCACCTTTGAAGAATTCTGTGTCATTGTGCCCATGGGCACACTGCAATTGGGATAAGTCTCCATTTTTGGTAAAGAGGAGGAGAGGAAGATGGTGTCTGTAGGATTTGTCCCTCCGCTGTGTCCAAATCCCAGTGCCTCTGAGACCCAGCAGCTGCTTCCCCACCTGCTTGACCATCAGGGAGAAAGATAAGGCTCTGGATGCCCATACAGAGTGTGTCAGACAGGGTTCTCTCGAGAAACAAAGTCAGGACACTTATGATTTTATATTTTTATATAGATAGATATTCTTATGTTGTCATAAGAAATAAACGGCTAATTAGCCCACAGAGCAGTACAAATGGCTCAGTTCAACTCACTTCGATGAGACAGTCAATACACTGGCAGTCCTTCAACTCAAGAGGGCTGCTGGGTGCAAGTCAAGGACGCAGACAGCTGAGTCTTCTGTAGAGCAATATAAGCAGTCCAGCCAGAAGCAGCAAACAGCAGGGCAGGTCACCAACAGTCAGCCAGATGTCAGGGTCCAACAGTCCCCAGCTCAAGTGATGTATACAGCAGCAATGTGGTGAAGCAGGTCTTGAAGGAGCCTCAAACTATAGCAACAGAGTCCACGGGTTAGGGGTCCCACAGGTAGTGTAGCTCACAAGTTGAGGCAGAGAACTAACTAAGGTGGCCGCTCACTAGTCCAATCATCAGAGAGCAAGAGACAAGAAAGGCAAGGCTTGACAAGCCGTTTATCTCTTTGCCCTTCAATTAAATGGCAACTTTATTAATCCCACGTGTGTTTATTGGCCAGGTTGGCACAATAAACCTACCTATCACACAGAGTTACCTAGTTAGGGGATGTGAATAGAACCTGCTATCAGACAGAAAGCATTGTAAAGTTGATTATGGCAGACAGACGTAGTCAGGTTAAAATATAATATCTTATTTGATCTCCCTTTTGTTCTATCTTAAAGCTGTTTCAGTCTGTGGTTTTTTTCTGTTTTGTTTTTTTAAATTTACATGTGCATTAAGCCCCTGGTGAGTCCCCTCTGACCTTGAACGAGGGGTGTGAAAGCCTGGCTGCTGTACAGAATGCGCCGCAGAGTGGACTGTTACAGATGCAGTTGGGTTAAAACTTGATCTCCCTTTCATTTCTTGTAGTTTTTAATAGCTTCTGCTTTCTTCTTTTGTTGTTATTTTTTTGTTTGTACTGCTTTTCTATACATGAAACCAAGGGTAGGTACATCTACAGAGACAGTAATGGGATTAAGGGTTCCTGGGGGGAGGGGATGGCAGGGGAGGTGGACGGGAAATGGGGAGCTAATCACGATGAGTACAAGAATGAAGAAAATGTTCTAAAACGGATTGGGGTGATGATTGCACAACTCTTCTTGATGCGATAGAACGATTGAATTGTATGGCATGTGTATTAAATACCAATAAAGCTGTTGGGGAGAAGAGAAAAGTAGGGACTGTTTTACTCTGTCCTGTAGGGTCGCTCTGAGCCGGCATTGACTGGAAAGCTGGCAGGGAGTTTGGTGTTTGGGGAGTGTCAGCCTGTGGGGCCAGGGGCCAGCCGCTTCAGGGCAGCTAGCAGGGATGGTGCCACAGCCTCTCTGGGATCTCCTCCGGTTCTGCAAGCAGGGACATGTGCACAGGCCCCAGAGGGCTGTGACAGCATGAGAGGTTGGTGCCCTGCCTCCCTTCTCCCTTCCACGTGCTTCTGCCAGTCAAAGCCCAGCTCAGGCCCCTTCTCCACATGCAGTCACCCTCAAGCTGGCCCACAGGGGTCCCTCCCTTCTCTCCTCTCTTTTAGGACTGATACCCTTTTGTATTTCCTAGTGATAGACTTTCATCATTATAATTCTTTCACTTTCTAATGGGGAAGCCCTGGTGGCATAGTGGTTACAATGCACTGGGCTGTGGTCCACATGGTTGACAGTTCAAAACCACCAGCTGCTCCACAGAGCTTTCTACTCCCATACACAGTTACAGAAGCTCAAAGAGTCAGTTCTACCCTGTCCTGTAGGATCACTACAAGTCAGCATTGACTCAATGGCAGTGAGTGAGTTTGTTAAGGAGCTCTGACAAGCCTTTGAGTTAGGCATTGGACTGCTAACTGCAAGGTCAGTAGCTCAAACTCACTAGCTTCTTCGAGGAAGAAAGATGAGGCTCTTTACTCCGGTAAAGAGTTTCTGTTTCAGAAACTCGCAGAGAAGATTCTGCCCCTGTAAAGATTCACACTCTTGAAAAGCCCACCTTCATGGGGTCGTGAGGAGTCAGACGGGCTTGATGGCAGAGGGCTGTCCTCTTGTCTGGACTGTAAGGTGCCTGAGGACAGGGCACCCTAGCTACCATTGGTCATGCCAGCATAGACGAGGTCATCCCTAGGTGCACAGAAGAAATGCAGGCGGGCTCAGGGCAGCAGGCCCAGCTCCCGAGTGCTGCGCTGGCTGGCCTGGAGTGAGCTCCTAGAAAGCGTGAGGAGTGGGTGCTATGCTGCCCTGGTCACCTGCTCCCTCCCTCCTTCCCCCACCCCCTTTGTAGGATGTTTGCTGCCAGGAGGAAGCAGCGCTACTGGCCCTTCTCCATGGACTGCACAGGCACAGAGGCCCATATCTCCAGTTGCAAGTTGGGTGCCCGCGTGTCGAAGGACCCCGTGAAAAACATCACCTGTGAGAATGGGCTGCCCGCCGTCGTGAGTTGTGTGCCTGGCCAAGCCTTCAACCTGGACGGACCCTCAAGGTTCCGGAAAGCCTACAAGCCAGAGGTAAGAATTGGGCAGGCCTGGAGCCACTTGGCACCTGGGCGGGCTCAGGGGACCCTCCGGAGAAAGTGAGGGGAGCCCACCCCTAGAGGGTGGAGTGGCAGAAAGGCAGAGGGTCTGGTCTGCCCAGGCACCCAGCAGCGTCCCCACCTGTCCTGTCCTTCGATTGGTAATTCTTCACTCTCTGAGACTGGAATTTCCTATGGGGAGGACAAAAATGAGGGGCTTCCACGGGAAACAGCACCTCATGAGCAAGCATCATCAGGGCTATCTGCTGACCCAGACTAAATAAAATAGGGGTAGGGTAAGGCTGACAGGGACCTGAACTATTGGCCACATAACACAATTCTCAAAAGCCCCTGAAATCAGTTATAAGTGTTTTGAAACCGGTTTTGGTTTCTTCTGTAACAGAAAGGATTAGAAAAAAACAATTTTTCTTTATGCTTTCAGCAAAACAGATGATGAAAACCTACTTACGCACTTCCATCGCCTTTGTATGTGAGTGTATTTATAAGGGTCTAAGGTGCGTGGTTCACGTGTGTGGGTGTACTGTGGTCGATGTGCATCCGCTCATCTCAACGGACACGCCCATTTCTACAGACTCCCTAGGGAGAGGGAGTTTGCCCAGCTGTTGTGGGTTGGACCCACCCTCTGGAAAATACAGCATACACGCATGTCTTTGCTCTATCACCATTAAGAGGCCGTTAGTTTTTCTTTCCCCTGTTCTCTCCCCACGCCCCACGTACCCACCAAAGAATGGCTGTGGTTGTGAGCCGCAAAAACTGCTGCTATGAGGCTGGTGCGCGAGAGCAGAGCTGGAAGGGAGCGGGGAGGGTGGGAGAACGTCTGATCGTGGATCCCAGATGCTCTCCCAAGCCAGATGGGATTAGTATTTAGCAATCCCCTGGCCAAGGTGACTTCGAAGGCCGCTCTGAGAAAGATTGGGACCCTGTAGTCAGAGTCACGAGGACCAAAAGCATGAGAGACCCAGAGGTCTAGGCAGTGGAGTGGGGGGAGCGAGGGAGGGGCCGAAGGTGAGCCGGGCCAGCAGAATCCCCACGGGGAGCGCAGCCCCCAGGGAGGGTTTCCGTTTCCTTGATTAGTAGGAGCCGTGCCCCCATGTCTTCTTTTGCTCCCTTTCCTGCTTGCTCTTCTGCTCTCGTATCTGCCTCCCTCCAAGCTCAAGGATCTGCTCTTGGAAATGAGGAGATAACACTCAGCCAATGGAAAAGGGGAACCCAGGGCAAAGGTTGGCACCCCGAATCAGACGGCCTGCCTAGGCTGGGCTGGGATATTTTGACCAAAGCGAGTGGCGTGGTTCCCGCCATCAACTGGAGGGTATGGGAACCAGCCGAAGGCTGCAGGCACCGTCTTGTCTCGCTGCCACCTGGGTGCAAGCCAGACAGCACAGACAGAGTGGGACAGCATTCTTCCGGGGCCACCCTGTAGCCCCTTCCCCGTGCTGTGTGACTTGAAGGCTCCAGTCTTTTCCTCGGCCTCAGCCCGAGCCGCTGAGCTGCCCTCGTTGGTCATTGAGAATACCAGCTTCTACTGTTTTGGAATTCTTCTAGTGTATGGTTTAAAACAAAAGCATCAAGTTCAGACTGAACCAATAAAAGACGAAGCGGGAGAAGAGGAGCCCGTGGCACAGTTTCCCTGTCTCCCCCTCCCGGGGCCAGCTGACTCGCTGCCTAGCCATTGCAGGGCTGGCTGGGGCTCTGTGACACTCCGCCTCCAGTCAGCCTGGGTCACGCTCTGGTGGGAAGGGGGCCTGGCCTCCAGCTAGTCTGTTTGCAGGAAGGAGCGGAGGTTACTTGGCTCCGCCAATGTTCTGGTTGGTTTGTTTAGAGATAGACGGAAGATGTCTGAAGCCACAGGGTGTTTTTCACCCACCCCTGTCCCTCTTTGGCCCCTAGTACCAGGTCAGAGCATTCCCTGGGGTCTGGTGAATCTGGGTGATGTCCAGTTCCCCAACCCGCAGGGCCAGCCAGCAGGCCAGGAGTGAGGCCCTGTCAGGAGGGGAGAGAAGGGACTGAGCAGGAACCGCAGCTGAAGGTTCTTAAGTAATGTCTCAACCCACAAGGTAGCTGGGGTACATAGATGCTTGGAAAGTACCACCTCCCATCAGGCCAGTCAAGGGGTTGGGGTCTAATAGCCAGAGCAGAACATGCCTCCTGTCTCATTGTCAAACAGTCATCCTTCCCAAGCGTTAGCAGTACTCTGGCCATGAGGTTCACACTGGAAGTGATAAGAGACCACGTCACGTGGGCAGGTAGTCAAATGGCTCCGCTCTCATCTGGTAAGAAGGGATCCAATGGGGTCAACAAGCTGGTGGAGAGTGTTTCTTTCTTCCTCCTGAACGATTAAATCCGTCCCATCAGGTGATCCAGGTTCCTGGCTGCCTGTGAGCAAGCTTGAGTAATGAAGCTGTCGTCCCCAGCCCCCTCTGGCTATCTGGAGGGTGGAGGGGTGGTCTTCTCCAGCATTAGGGAGTGCCGCTGGAAGGTAGAAATAGGGGAGGCCAGGGATGGGGCTGTGCATGGACCCCGCTCTAGAACTGTCGTGGGTCTTAACCAACATGAGGCGCCTCACCCCCTGCAAGATCTAGTCTCTGAGCTGCGGCCTTATGAGCTCTGGTCAGGCCTCGCTTGCCAGTGCCCCATCTCCCATTACACTTTGCCCGCCTGCCTTTCACTGGTGTGCCAAGCAGAATCCCTGAAGAATCTGTTTAGTACCAAGGAGCCTTCCCAGGAGGCTGCCCCTCAGGACTAGATGACAAGCCAGACAAGATGACAATGCCCACTGGGCTCTTGGGGCTCTGGGGTGGAAGCTTCAGAGCTTGGCGTTCTGGGGAGTGGTGAGAAGTCCTGATGAGAAGGTCCTGGAGTCAGGCTAGGGTGGAGTAAGGAGAGAAGAAAGCAAGCAATTGGCCGATGACAAATGGCTAAGGGTCTCTGGTGGGCTCCCTAGTGCTCCAGCCCCATGAAAGGGCTACAGAGGAGGCTTGTACCAGAGTGAGGGAACGCAGCCTCCTTTCCCAGCACTCTCACGTTCACACGTGCAAGTACACTCGCACGCACACGCCAAATGCAGTCGAAGCTCCTAGACTGTGTGTCCGGGCCGGGGAGGGGTGAGGTCGAGTGGACCCGGGCACCAGCTTCTCCACTCACCTGGACCGTGTGTCTCCCCAGCAACCTCTGGTGCGGCTGAGAGGCGGGGCCAACGTCGGGGAGGGCCGTGTGGAGGTGCTGAAGAATGGAGAATGGGGCACCATCTGCGATGACAAGTGGGACCTGGTGTCTGCCAGCGTGGTCTGCCGAGAGCTGGGCTTCGGGAGTGCCAGGGAGGCCATCACCGGCTCCAGGCTGGGCCAAGGTAAGCAGCGTGCAGCCCTCACCCATCATGGGCGACGGCAGCCTCAGGAGCCTGGTCCCTGGGGCCTTTTCCACAGGGGGGGGGGGGGGCATGGCAAGTGCTTCCTCGGCCCCCTGCTCTTCCAGCACCTCTGCTGTTAGAGAATCCCAGGCCCAGCCTGGAGTGCAACACTGGGGGACACTGAGTGCAAGACCCCACTGTACAGATTTAGGCACGAAGGCTCAGAGAAGAAGTAAATTGATCAAGGTGAGAAAACATAAGGAAGGAAGGAAGGAAATTAGTTGCCATCCAGTCAGTCCTGATTTGTGGCAAACCCGTGGGTGTCAGAGTAGAACTAACTGTATTCGGCCGGGCAGCCAGTGATTCGTTTTTTGTTTTTTTTCCGGAGTAGATTGCCAGGCCTTTCTTCTGAGGCACCTCTGAGTGGATTTGAACCATCAGCCTTTCCGTTAATAACCAAGCACCAAACCATGTATGACACCCGGGGACTCAACAACACATCAGTGGCAAATTAGTCCTGTAATATAGGTCCCCCAATGCCTTGCCCAAGGCCCGCCACTGCCACCCTGAGAAAGCCAGGGTCTTCTAGCCCTTCCTCCTAGACAAAGCCTCCAGATGGATCCGGCTGTGAACCACCCCTGCAGAGACAAATTCTCAAATACCCTCCTCCTACCTTTCCACACTGGTGCCGCTCCATGGAAACCCCTCCCACTCCCCACCCCCAGTACCAGAGCGGGGTGGGCGAACCCTGGCACTGTGTCGCTCATGAGATGCTCATGAAAAGAAGCCTGGTTTTTATTAAGTGTCCTGAACAATTTTTTTTTCCCATCGGAGCAAATAACAAAAGTGTACCAGGCTTTCAAGTCGGACGCTCCTTGAGAGAAAGGACCGTGTAAACACGACACTACAGCAGAACACACAGTTCCCTGCAGCGCGGCCAGGTCCGGGGCTGTCTGACTGCCCAGCCTTGGGTCCTTAAGGCAGCGGATGCCGGCCCTCCCCTGGAACGCTGGGGTGAGAGTAAGCTGGGATCGCAGTCGCTGCCAGGACATTCCCAGTGCCGACCGACAGGGGTCAGGCCGCTGCGGATGCTGGGCCAGTGCGTGCTTGGCAGAGGACCGGTGGGGGGAGGAACAGGGGCTCCCAGACGAGGGTGGGGGTGCCCTGTCCTGTGGGGAGATGTTTCCACCCCATCAAGTCCCACGCAACCATCACCCCACCGAAAGGAATGTGGTGAGCTCACTGATCACAGCTTTGAGAATAGTCCCCTGTCCACAGTGCCTGGCCAACCACCTCCAGTGGTTTCCTGGACAAGACTCTCGAATCATGCTTTTAACTGACCCTCCACTGCAGAGAACGAGAAGCAGGGCTCAGCCGGTGAGGCCATTGTGGATTCTTTTCACCACACACTCAGGCCCCAGATGGCTGTGGTCGGCTCGTCAGCAGCTCCCTGTGGCTAGAAAGAGGCCCTGCTAGCTAGTGGGCAGGAGGGAGGAGTCCTGGAACCCTCTGGGGGTCCGTGAGCTTCCAGAGAACTCATGGAAAACTTTCATGATCTTTTTTACTCCGTCTTGTCCGTGAACTTGTGGAAGCCTCTTTGTATACCTGCAGGAGAGGCTGTGGGACACTTAGCCCAACAGATGAGGAATTTGAGGCTCCAGGGAACAGGTGACTTGCCTGAAGTCACCCCAACAGTTTCCTGGGTGTGCACCCAGATCTGGGCATCTGACACTCAGCCCCATCCTCTCAGGCAACATTGCGGCCCGCTCCCCTGGTCCCAGCCAGCTCCGGGCGCCCTGCTGGATCTGGACTGTTCCCACGGCCCTTGTCCCTGACCAGGGGGTGCTCTCTTAAGGCCCACAGGACACAGATTGCTCATGCAGAGGCATAAACAAGCAGATAGATGACATAAGCATTCCATTTGTCATGGGTGTGTTCTCTGTGACCTAATTATTTCCCTGCTCGGAGCAGTCAAAGGTTTCCAAAGTGTCAGGCCGGTAGACCACGGGGCAAAAGAGGCATGTGGCCTTTCTGATGCCATCGTTCAAAGAACCACGGGTGATGTATTATGTCCTGCCATGCCGGGAGGGCGCCACTCCAGTCGGCAAAAGGAGTAGTAGCATGTTCAAGGTCAAACGGCAGAGCAGACAGGGTCCGTGCTTCCATCCTGGCTGATGAGTGGTCCAAGTGGCCACACTCGGCAAGGACTGAGAGGCACCACGCTGAGCCCTGGTCCTGGTCCTGCCACCTACTGGATCTGCAACCTTGAGAAACTTTCCAGGCCTGTTTTTACTGTCTTCGAATGGGGTGGCTGGTCAATGGTCAGGCTCTGCCTACCGCCTGCCTTCTATGGTCCACTCAGAGACTCGCTCTTCTCACCAGCATGGAGTCTAGCTCAGAGCCAAGCACACATCCGGACATCACGCCCACATCTGAATACCTGCTTGCTCCTGCATCCACTCCCTCACCCCTGCTCTGAGCCTGAGCGCCACCAGGGCAGGCCTGCGCCTTTTTCTCCCTGCATCCCGTCTTAAGCCCTGTGCCTGGCACATCTGCTCGAGAGGTGTGGATTTTGTGCGGAATGAATGGGTGGGTGAACGAATGCATTTCTGCTGAATAAGGTGGGTCCGCTAAATGAATGCCCAACCCAGAAGCCTCCGGGAAACATCTGCAAGTTACACACACACATCACTTCCAGTTTCCTACTGGCCACCAAGAAAGGGGTCAAAGCAAACAAGCGGAATGAATTTTAATAATGTATGTCATTTCACCCACGATTTCAGCATTCCTGTCGAGGTTGACTCCCGTCCACAGACACGGTGACTGTGGTCGTTGACAGTTTTTGTACTTGATCTTCAGAATCCGGGGTGCATTTGACAGTTGCCAGACATCACTGTCCAGACTCGCCACAAGTGCCCACTAGTGCCCAGTACCTGCTGCACGGACGGACGGGACAGACCAAGAGCAGGGGCTTCATATGCCATTTGCCTGCAATCCACAATAAGAAATACACACCACAGAATATGCCACGTGCATAACAATGTAAGAAAAGGGCCGTAAAGCACTGCTGACCGCCACAGCATGAAAACACTAGGTCCTTTCCTGTGGTTTTAAAAGTCTGACTGGAACCGGCTGCATTGATCGTTTAACCCACTAAAGGGTCTCAACCCAGAGAGCCTGCAACACCACTCCAAGGGTTGGGTTTCGACTTCTCCTGCAGCACCCTGCTTCTGCCCCAAGATGTGTGGACCCCCCAAGTCCAGGGAGGCTAGTCTCCAGAGGGACAGTGAAGCCGGCTGGAAGTGGAGAGGGCATCATGAAGGGAAGCAATACAGAGGTGTCCAGAACCGAGGAGGAGGTGAAAGTGGAGGTGAAGCGTGCAGGTCAAACCTCGGCCAGGAATTCAGAGCCAGGAGCCCACTGGGCAGTAAGGTTACTCACCCATCCAGTGTGCTGCAGCACCCCACCCCACCCCACCCTGTGCAGCGCCTCCAGCTCTGTGGTGGTACAGTAAGAAATGTCATCTCTTGTCTCTGTGCTCTGCCTCTGGTGTGTGTGTGTGTGTGTGTGTGTGTATGTACATGTGCCTCAGATAAGTGGATCTTGCCTCGGGGGGCCTGGCTCCCAGGTTTCTGAGAGAGCCACACTAGACCAGAATTTGATTAACCAATTGTTTGATGCCATCTAAAGCACATTAAGAGCTTTAGTTCCCCTTTCTCCTTCTGTCCAGCCCCCTCCTATAGTATGCTGTTGTTGTTGTTCTTGGTTGCCATGGCATCAGTTCTGACTCATGGCGACCCATGTCTGTGCAGTAGAACAGAACTTCTCCCTTGGGTTTCCAAGGCTGTGCGCTGCCAGAAGCACAGTGTTCCAAAGAGCCTCTGGATAGGTTTGAACTACCAACCTTTGGGCTAGTGGCCAGATGCTTAACTGTTAGTGCCACCCAAGGACTCCGGCCCTATAGTCTAGTAGCCAGCAAATATCTATAAATGCTATTAGGGCTGAGCTCTGACTGGACACCTCACTTATTCCACAAACATTGATAGTTGGGGCTTCTGCTCTTCAGGAGTTCAAGCCCAGTGAAAGAAGTGAGAAATACCCACAAGGATAACGGTTGCTGGCAAGGAAATTACGACATCGAAGAAATACTACTGAAAATACTCCTTGCCAGTCACTGAGGCCCTAGTAAATGCCAGTACTTGACCTACTTTACCTTGTTCATTCCTTATCATCTTAACCCAGTAAGATGGGCATTGGTATTGTGGTTATTGCCTTTTACAGATGAGGAAAATAGAGCTGAGAATGATCTCATCACTCCCTGAGGAGATGCTGAGAAGAGGGGGCGGCGCTGGGAAATACAAACTCACTGCCATCAAGGTGATTCTGACTCATAGTGGCCTTATACAGCAGGGCAGAACTTCCCCTATACCTCTTTATGGGAGTAGAAAACCTGGTCTTTCTCCCTCCTGGCAGCTGATGGTTTCAAACTGCTGACCTTGAGGTTGGCATCCCAACGCATAACCACTACGCCATCAGGACTCCTTCCAAGGAGATCAGACTGAGTGAATTCTCGGGCTGACTGCTGAACTCATGACCCAGTGTGTGAGAGGCAGTAAGAGCAAATGCCGTGGGCATTTAGATGCAGTGAGGGCTTTCGGAGCTGAGCCTCGGGGGAGGAGGGATTGGAGGTGTTCCTTGAAGGCAGAAGGGAGAAGGCATCCCAGAAGGCAGGAGGGAGTGGGAGCATCCCTGCAGGGAAGAGAATATAGGCCTTCTCTGGGACCAGGCTCCTCAGCCCTTGCCCAGACGAAGTTTCCACTCTTCCCCCAATCAGGGTTTTCTCTCCTGCCTGAGCATCAGAAACTTCACACCACAGCTCTGGGGTCAGACCGCCTGGTTTGAGTTGACCCCCACGGGGCATGTTGGCCCTCAGCGCCCTGACTTTACTGGGCTGCTGTGAGCATGACAAGAGTAAACACACACAAGGCGTTCAGAGTGGCATCCAGCACACAGTAAATGGCCAATCAGTGGTTAACTTCCAGCATTGTGGTCATCCTCAAGCAAGCCTGCTCCGACACTGTGACGTGACACAGCCAGGGCCACGGTTGCTGTTCATGTGTGCGCCTAGTGTAAGCCATGTACTGTGGCCATTGGGTGCCTCAAGTGCTGGCTATCCATGTCCGACGAGTCGGTCCCTGCTGGCAGTGACCTTGTAGGACAGAGTCGAACTGCCCCATTGACTTTCCAAGGCTGTGGTCTTTACAGAAGCAGATTGCCACACCTTTCTTCCGCAGAGCGTCTAGTGGGCTGGAGCAACTGACCTCACGGTTAGCAGCCCGATGCTGAGCACACAGTGCCTCCAGGGCCCCTTCAGTGCAGTGTCAGGTCTGTATTTCATCACCGCCTTTTCCATTCCAAGTCTTAGGATGCTCCCCATATACATAGTCACTGTGTTTTTATAAAGTTAGGGCATTTATACATTCCCCAGGAATTTGAAACTGCATTATTTATGAATTTCCAAGGAGATAGAAACTTAGCTCATACTAACATGAGACGCTTTAAAAAAATTTTTTTTAAGATTTTTTTTTAGGAGCCAGTGATCAAAATGAGCAATGGTCATTCAAGAAAAGGCTTACTATTTGTCAACTTAATAATACAATAATATACCCACAGGCTGCTTCCAAAGTTAATTATAGATATCAAAAAATCCCCAGGCAGACCCAAAGCCCCTCCATCAGGCGTCCAAGCACCTGTGGTCACCTCCCACCATTGTTTCCTTTTGTCCTCTCACCTCACAAGTCTCTGTGTAAGGGACCACCGCCTCCCATGAGCCCGGGGCTCTTCCAGCCAGAGGCCCGCCTTGTTCTTCGTTGAACCGCCATCACTCACCACAGATGCAGACATACACAGACCCTCAGTGAATTCAACATAGACCTGTTAACACTTCCTATGGGCCTGCGTGGCACCCATGCTTAGACCTTGACTCCTAACCCCAAGGGTAGCCATTGGAACCCACCCGAGGTATGCCAGGAGGAAAGCCGGGTCTTCTGCGTCCCCAAAAGTCAGCCTTTGAAAACCCGGTGGAGCAACTCCACTCAGACACACGGGCATTGCCATGAGTTGGAATAGAGTCAATAGCAACCCCCCACCCCCACCCCATCCCCATTTACCTGGCTCAGGTTGGGGATACGATGCTGTGCATAAGGTTTTCTCATATTCCCAACTAGTGCCTTAGACAAGGTGGCTTGACACTGAGGCTCAGACATAGGAACGATTGTGAGGATGGTGCAGGGCTGTACAGCGTTTCAGTCTGTTGTGCCTGGGGTCACTATGGGTCAAAGCCGACTCAATGGCGCCTAACAACAGCAACAGTTGGGAATACAAAAGGGGAGCCTTGGCCTAGCCCTTGGTGGCTCCTCCAGCCTACTGGGGAAGCCAGACAGATGTTAAACAAATAACCAGCCACCTGTGTGAAGCAGAGGGCTTAGTGAGTTCAGGCGGGGCAGTCAGACCACCCTTCTCTGAGGAAGAGGCCTGGAGGCTGAGCCTGCAGGGTGGGTGGCAGTCAGGGAGTCAGAAGAGGGAAGAGGAGCTGCCCAGGCCTAGAGGGGCCAAAAGGATCCTGGTGTGACTGCAGGAGGGGGCAGGCAGAGCAGGACAGCAGATGGGAGTTCAGATGGTGGAAGTCCTTGTAGGGCATGTTGATGACTGATGAGTTTATCCTAAAGGGCAGTGATGTCATTAAAGCTTTTAAGGCCAGGAATGATTTGATTCAATATGCATTTTAAAACTATCATCTGTGCTGCTGCGTGGAGACAGAGGGAGGCTAGACTTTGGACGAATGTTGGCAATATTAGTCCAAAGAGAAGGTGAAAGGGTCGGACTGGTGTCGTGGCAGCATAAGTGGAAAAAGAAAACAGAAATCCAGACCCCCAACTCGAGGGGGGGGCGGGAGTGGAATGTAGTGCTGCTGGATAGGTTGTCGGGATAAGAGAGGAAGAGGAGGCCCACACATGACGTCTGGGTTCTGGTGAGAACAAGCAGGCAGGGTGCGTGCTCTTCCCACAATGGGGAGGCCTAGTGGAGAAGACTATTAGGACGAGATTCCCGAGCAGAGGACTCTCCCAAGAAGTCTGCCCTGACGGGGGAAGTGACCGAGTAAAAGGAGGCATGGGGTTAAGGAAAGTCATCGTAAAGATGGGGGCTCCTAGAACAGGCCAGCAGGGTCCAAAGAAGAGTCGAGGGTGAGTCTCAGGAGTGAGGAGATGGCCGGGGGAGCAGGATTTCCAGAAGATGGGGAGATGCTGGGCTCCCGTCCATCCTCATGGGCTGGAGAGAGGAGGGTTGGTCATGTGCCCCGACAGGAGCTGAATGTTGGTCAGACTGGGCATTCTCTCTCCCGAGCGGTACGACCCTCCCTCTGGTTATTGCCACGCCTGGACTAGAGGTCCCACCTCCACCACCGTGCCCTCCAGGAGGCCTGCCACGGGCCTTCCAGGGCCACTCTCCACCCTTGGTCACAGCGTCTGTGTCCCAGGAGGCATGCTGGATGTGGTCAGTCAGGGACTGCTGGGAAGCTAGAGGAGGAGAAGCAGAGACCAGGGTGTCTACTCTCGCTGAGGGACCCCCAGTCCGCTGTGCGCCACCCCCCGGCTCAGTGACAGCTTCCATCAGGTGGTCCCTCCACACAGCCTTCGTGCCCCTCCCCTCCTACAAGCCTCGGGGTGGCGTCGGTGCCTCCATGGCTCACCTCTGCAAACCATGCTGTGCTTTGTCATTTCCTGCTTTCTGCCCGCTCCTCTGCTTTCATTGTTTTTTAACTCTCTTATTTTTTTAATCTCTGTAAACTCTACTCAAATCATTTCATGACAGGGTGTCATCTGTTTCCTCCAGGGTCCCTGACAGCTACAGTCACGCTTCTCCTATTCAGAGATGCCTGGAAGTGTTGGGATCTAACCCTTAGATGGGTTCTAGTTGGACCCCTTGCCTCAGTGAATAGCTCGGCCAAGGTCAGACCAAACATTAGTAACAAACTTTTTTTGTTTTTATGGGAAAAGTGATGGGAAGAAGAAGAAGAAGAAGGAAAAAAGCAATGGTTTCGTGTCAAGAACTCTGGGCCAGTGACCCAGTGTCTTCTCTTCCCCAGAGATAAGAGGCCTTGGTCTTAAGACAGGGCATTAGGAGGAAGGAAGAGGCAAGTGCTGACCATCCTGGGCTTTCTTGTCCACTCCAGAAGATTCCTTCAGAGTTTCTCCTAGCTCACATCTACTCTTCTCACCAGGGATAGGGCCCATCCACCTGAATGAAATCGAGTGTACCGGGAAGGAAACGTCCATCATCGAGTGCAAGTTCAATGCCCAGTCTCTGGGCTGCAGCCATGAGGAGGATGCGGGCGTGAGATGCAACGTGCCTGCCATGGGCTTCCAGAAAAAGGTGAGGGGTCTGGGTGCCCAGAGCAGCCTGAATATGGGTCTCCTCACTGAGGCCCCAAACAGTTCAGGCTGGGCGTGGGGGTGGGGGCTCTCTCTGAAGTTCAACAGCAGGTGATGAAGTTCCCTGATCAGAAAGCGCTCCGCACTCCTGTGATCACCATCCATGCATGGCGTTGTCACCTGGAGTCCTCAGTCTGACACAGGGGAAATGCATGTGGGAACGCCATCCACTGAGGGCCCTGTCCTGCAGGCCGTGTGACTGCAGCTCAGTCCCTGTGCAAAGCTCTGGGGTACCTGTGACACCCTTAGCAGGGGCCCTTTCCAAGGACCCGGAGCAGCCACATCCCGTAGCAGGTCTGCAGGTCACGTAAGCACAAGGCAGACAGCATGTGGTGGAGGAGGACAGTGTTTTGCATTAGAGAGAAAGGAAGACAAACGAACACCATACTTAGTCAGTGACACACACACTTCTTCCTCCCTGAGACGGGCTCCTCTGCTGGGTTGGCCTTGCCCACAGGCCAACCAGATGAGGTCCTCTTGGCAACAAGACACCAACCCCCAAACCAAGTCACTACCATTGAGTTGGTTCTGACTCACTGTGACCCTGTGTAAGGCTTCCAGGGCTCTAAGCCTTTGCAGGAGCAGAAAGCCTCACCATTCTGCAGAGCAGTCCGTGGGTCTGAGATGCTGGCCTGGGGTCCAGCACTTACCCAACAGTGCCGCTGGGACCAGACTGCAAGATGCCAGACCTAAGCCAAACTCACTGCCAACCAGCCCGCTCCGGTGCATCCTTCTTTTTTTTTTTTTTTTGCATATATTTTAAAGCATCAATGCTTGCATAATTAAGTCACACATATGTAAATGTGTGATTTTAAATGTT